CGGCGGCGTATGCTTTGAAAGGCATCGGAGGTTTGAACACTTGTGGCGAAGCGCCCAACAGTTTGAGCTTCACTTTGGAGCTGAAGATGTAGGCGCGGGCGTGACCTGAATAGATCAGGTTTAAGAACCGTTCGCCAACAAACGCCGTGACCGTAATCTTCGCCCCGTCCAGCGCCGACCCGCCGCCCAATTGGTCTATGATTTCAGTCATTGGGCGCCGAAATTCATAGTATCCTTTAAACTGATAGACGAAACAAAAAAGCATTAAAACAACAAATTTCATGACTTAAAAAATAAGCAAAACTGACATATCGTTCTGTGGTCTCAATGGCCGGTCTATCGAAATAATTTTGCGAAACCATTTGTTTGTTGGACGAGAGAAGTGTGTAGACTATTGTAAGATTGCCGATCACTGGTACACCACTCGTGAAGCTATATATAGCACAACATATAAATGTCATAAATCATTAGGAAAAAGGGATAGCAGACGAAAAAAGTCTGCTAACGATTAGGACATACTTAGCCATAATAGAGCCGTATATATAGCTGTCTGTTTGGAGGAAGAAAGCCGGCANTAACGATTAGGACATACTTAGCCATAATAGAGCCGTATATATAGCTGTCTGTTTGGAGGAAGAAAGCCGGCATCGATACGTTCACTTCAAACCTCGTCTGATCTGTTATTACAAAAATGTTTAGTTTTGTAAGAATTGCAGAATATATTCATTGAGTTTTGTGCAAAGAAGTGCTCATTTTCTGTGTTTCTTAAATGATTTATAGCTTAAAATTGAATGGAGAAGAGAGTCATAAGCAAATGATATATTGCTTTTCGATTAAACACAAAACAGATTCTATTAAAAACGCTTTCATATCTATATTTTGTTATAAAAAGATAGTTATGTTTATGCGCTAAAAGACCAAAATCTATTCCCTGTAAAAAATTAGGCAAAAGTTGTCGTAATAAATACTTACAATATTCTTCGACAGCAAACTGTTTCTCCTCGACCTGTCCCTGCGCTACCACACGGATAGTCCAATTCTGTCCGTAAACCGGTTGCTGAGACAATGGATATTCAAGACTCACAGCTCCTGTGTTTTGCAAATAAAATATAAATAGCGTACAAAAGGCGAGCGTAAAATTAAGCAACAATTCATACCTAAATTGCTTTGTCTGGAGAGCCATCTCCTCATAATAGCACCTCTCGGGTCAAGCATATAGATATCAATGGCATCAGAGAATGCTTTTAAATCAGTGGTGATAGGTATGGCCCTAAAGCGGACAGTCTGTCCCTGCATATAGATTGGCTTATCTGTGGTGACAAATATAGTCATCGATCGCTGAGAGAACTCCAGATAAGTCTCATTATAGAAAG